GTGGTCCGGGGACCACCGAACCCGGCGCCGCCCCCAGCTGCAACCCCTGGCCCGAGAGACAGCAGCGAGGGTGCAGTCCCAATCTCGGGACCGAGAAGGGGCGGGCGATCAGCTCGGAGCCGAAGCAGGGAAGGAGGCGGGACAGACCACGGAGCGGGTCCGGGGTAAAGTGGACGCCTCACCTGCTCCTCTCGAGGCAGCTGCTAACGCTCGCTGAGGGGACAACATGGAGCCTCCACCGTCAGCAGAACCAGCCTAGGCGCAGAGGAGAGGGGCGGGCTAGGGCGTGCACGAACAGAGGCCTGGAGGCGGGAAACGGGCGGGGTCCCGACTCCCAGAGAAACCGGTGAAAGGAGGGGCGCGTGGAGGCGAGACAGAGCGAGCCTGCGGCGCGGAGACAAGACGCGACAAGCGTCCCGGGGCGTGGCAAGCGTCCGGATGGCTAGGGCGGGAAAGCGCACGCGACCGAATCCCGCCACCGCCCGTCGCGTCTGCGCGTGCGTGAGAGCGCTCCACAGGCCACCTGGGGCTGCGCACTGGATTCCCGGGTCCGTTGGGAATTGTAGTCCCTTGCTCTTTGCCAAGCCTACGGCCCATTCTGCCGACTCATCTGGAGCTGAGCGGAAGCGGAGAGGGCGGAGCGGGCCCTGGACCACAAAACTACAGTTCCCAGCTAGCCACGCTGGGAGAACTTGCCGGGCTGGGGACGAGGTCCTGGCCGCCTACGATTCCCGCTATCTCCTCGCGTGCTGATGGGTCGTGTCGGGGCCAGACGCCTTTCAGTCCAGCTTTCAACACCACCTGCGGGCAGCGGCTTCCGTGTTAAACGCCGGCAGGGACCACAGGGGACAGCAGAAAGTGTCCTCAGTCCGGATGACGTGAATCCCACTGAATTTTTAACGATTTTGACTTCACAAGGAGAGGCCTCCTCTTCGTTACCACTGTCATCCTCGTCACACACACACACACTCGTTCCTGTTCTTGTTCCTGGGCAAGCCTGATATGCACTATGGACATTTGTGTTTGTGTGTGTGTGGCTTTTTTAAAACAGGGTTTCCTGTGTAGCCCAGGCTGGCCTGGAACTTGCTACCGACTCTCCTGCCTCTACCTCCCGAATGCTGGGATTACAGGCGCGCGCTCCCGTGCTCAGCACCATCACCCTTGATAGTTGCCTTAACTTCCTGCCATCGTCTGTGTCCAGCCTAAACCATGGCCAGTCTTTCATAAGTGACGAATTTACAGGACCTTGTTTCAAAGCTGTGTTTTTTAATTGAGTTTATTGGTACATTTTAGGTATACAGTACAGTTACATTCATTATTGGGATCTTGTACCTTTACATGACAGGTCTTGGTTCTCATTTTTTCCCCTTGTCCCTGCCCTCCCTTCACCCCCTCCTGCCCTCCCCGTTTACAAACACTTTATTTCCATTTTCTCATATTTTTTTCTTTTCCCTTATTCCCTTTCCCCTACCCTTCCCACTTTCCCTACACCTTTAGCCCTTTTCTTCCTATTTCACAGTGTCAATTATCTCATTAGGATCTTATGTACTGTTATAGTTTCTCATACCAGAGAAACTATTCGGTTTTAATCATACTTAAAACTGTATGGTAAATCAACACATAAGCAGGTTCTCCAAAAATAGTTGTACACACACATCACATGTGATTGGAAAAGTATCATTTGCCCCAAACAAGAAAAAGTTTTAGGGAGTTCGTGGGGGGGGTGGGCATAAGTACCTGGTAGAGTTTGTGAGAGGCTAAAACATCTCTTCTTCCCTCACCACCACCATTTGGCATAACCATTGCTTTAATCATACAACAAATGACTCTCCTTTTTCCCTTCAGCCTCTGTCTTTAAGTATTATAACCTGCTAAGAACCTCTTCCCAGCTACTCCTGCATCATCAAAAGCTCAAAAGGGTTCACCAGCACTGCAGGCCATGCCAAGCACTTGAGCCATTTTTTTACTTTCCTAGGCCAAAGGTGAAAAGATAAAGATAATTCTTTATATACCTAAAGATATCCTGATTTAACTTCTTTTCCCCTAACACTCCTGATTCTCCCCCAAATTCCCAAGACTATTTGAATACCCTTTTCCAGGCCTTGGATTTAAATCTAGATTTGATTTAGGCCAATTGGGCCAGGAGGAAATTAGAAGTGAACATCAGGCCAAGAGATTACAGATGTAGAAAGGCAAGACCTGCAGGAGGTGACACAAACGCAGGGCATTAAGTGGCATGCTCAGAATGGAAGGGCTAAAGGCCAATGACTTGTCACAAGTACAACACACTGCAAAAATTTTAAATTGCACATATATTCTCTACTCTTCTTGCACTAGTTCCTCCATCTGCCTTTTGTGCTATTTTTTGTTTTATTTCTTCCCACTAGAATGTAAATTCAAAATGTAGAATTTTTGTCTGTTTTGAACGAACAGCTAAATCCTAGTACTTCAAACAGTACTAACAGCAACTAGATACTTTCTGAGTCCTTTAATATTTGAGGGGCAGTTTGTTTCATTTTTTGAAAGAGAGAGAGCTACATAACCCAAGCTGGCCTTGAACTTGTGCTGAGAACCTCTAGAGTGCTGAAATTACCTTACCGTCAGATCTGGTTTGACTCATTTAATATTAAATATAAAACTTTTACATTGGAACAGAATATACTGTTCTATTTTAGGGGCTCACAATGAAGATGCACTAAAATCTCCTCTGTCAGGAAGTAAATAGCAAATGCTGGCATTATATCTATCTCAATTTTACATCATCAAGGTCACTGTCAGCACATCATCAGCCTTCCTCATTGCTTTTTTCAATACTGGGGATCAAACTCAGGACCTTGTGTTTGTGAGGCAGGCATGGTACCACTGAGCAAAATCCCCAGCCCCACTTCCTCACACTTTGAAGTTTTTGCCATTTGAACCAAAACTGTACAAAGTACAGGTGGATTTTAGGATTAGTCACAGCCTAGAAAGTGACCTGTGTAAAAAAGAAACATATTTTGTTATTGTTTCCTTCTCAAATATCCAGGATCATCAAAACAATGGACATTCAAAATGTTAAATACTGATGATACCAATTACAGTCTGTTTTCAGTCACCTCTGAGTTGAGTCACATGATATGATGAGAGGTTGAGCTTTCCCTGTGGTTTTCTGAAAGTAGCTGACTGACATGTACATGTTTGAATGATTAAGGCCACTGGATTTGGGATCAGACTGACCTAGATTTTAATTCTGACTCTGATATTGCCTCTGGTTGTTCAATCTTTGGTGAATTATTTAATCTGTCTGACTCTCTTTCATCATCTACAAATTGGTTCCTACAGAATTGTAGGTTAAATGAGGTATAAGTGTTGACAATGATGACTGATTATGCTCAAAACATAGTAATCATTATATTCATTCTGTTACAAGTTTTTTGGTTTTGTTTTGCTTTGTTTTGCAATACTATAGATTGCCATACTATAGTATTGCCAATACTATAAAACCCATGACCTCCAGCAGGTAGGCGAGTGCTGTATCACTGAGCTACACCACTACAGCATATTTATTTTTTTATTTTTATTTTTATTTTTTGTTACCGGGGATTGAATTTGTGTCCTTGAGCTTGCAAGGCAGGCAGCAGAACCACTGAGCTAAATCCCCAGCCCTACAGCATATTTATTTTGAAAAAACAAGACAAAATCATAATTAAGGTACTCAAATATTTTATGAAGCTCAGAAAAGCAAAATTACTGTAGGAGGTTGAGGCAGGAGGATCACAAATTTGCGCTCAGTCTGGGAAACTTAGTGACTTAGCAAGACCTTGTCTCAAAATACAAAATAAAAAGGGCAATGAGGGTATACCTCAGTGCAAAGGCCCTGGGTTCAGTCCTCAGTACCATTTAAAAACAAAACAAAATAACAAACTTGTTTTCTGCAGTGACATCCATTGTGACTCAGGTTCCAAAGATTTCCAAAATTAGTGCATTTGTTAGGTACCTCACATTATGCTAAAGAGTAATGCTACATAAAACACATCCCTATCCTCTTAAGACTTCAGACTTAACAAGGAAAGAAATATCACTCTTTGGGCTGACCTAGAACACAGTTTGGCCTGCTACCACCTATGTGCAGGATTGATGTTTGAGCACTTGGATGGGACTGGCTGGACTACTACATCCCCAGGCATCATTTAAATATCTGTACCTTAAAAATAAATAAATAAATAAATATCTGTACCTGGGGGTTGAGGATTTAACTCAGTGGCTAGCCTGCTTAGCAAGTATAAGGTCCGGAGTTCAATCCCCAGTACCAAAACAACAACAACAACAACAACAAAAATTCCACCTAACAACATCACAGAAAAAATTACATTTGCTGGGCCTGGTGGCACACACCTGTAATCCCAGCACTCGGGAGGCTGAGGCAGGAGGATCGCTGTGAGTTCGAGACCAGCCTGGGCTACACAGTGAGTTCCAGGTCAGTCTCAACTACATAATGAGATTCTGTCTCAAACCACGCCCCCCTGCAAAAGTTGAATATTAGGCTGTCAACCCAGTAGCATTAAGCATAAAGCTTAAGGCCTCATTATTATTATTATTATTATTCACTATTTCTATTCATTATTACTATTCCAGCCAATAGCACAGCTAATGCCTCAAAAAGACACTAGAGAGGGCCAGGGATTTAACTTAGTGGCAGCATGCCTGCCTCACAAGCTCAAGGTCATGAGTTCGAAACCCAGTACCAAAAAAAAAAAAAAAAAAACACTAGAGAGATCAGTAGAAGAAAAGAAGCAGGGCTGGGGATTTAGTTCAGTGTTTCTACCACCTACCTTCACAAGCACAAGGTCCTGAGTTCAGTCCCTAGAACCAAAAAAGAAAAAAGAAGCAATGTGCCCCAAAATGTGTATAGCATATTATCATTTATGTTTAAAATGGCAGCTAAACCTGTAACCTTAGGTGTGGCGGCACATGCCTGTAATCCCTGCACTTGGAAGGCCGAGGCAGGAGGGTTGCCATGAGTTTGAGGCCAACATGGTCTACATAGTAAATTCAAGGCCAGCCTAGACTATAATGAGACTGTGTCTCAAAAATAAAAATATAAAGATGAAAGAAAGAAAAAAAGCAGAATAAAACCCTTTACTTTGTACAATATATATACTAAAATTATAATAAAATAAAAAGTGTAGCATATCCAAGCATGTGCAGTACATAATACTCAATAATACTGGTTTATGTATTTACTGTACTACACAAAGTTTACTGCAAAACAGTGTACTATGTCAGCCAAGGTGGCTTCATCCATCTTTGCACTGCATGTTTTGACTGTGTCAAGAGGCCAAGAGGAATACACCATGTAAGTGTATGAAAGTACACACTAGATGTCCCCATGAGGGTGAAATGCACTGCTCACAATGCAGACCTGTTAACTGAAGCGTGACTGCAGGGACACCGTTTCTTGTTTTGTTTTGTGATGCTGGGGATCAAGCCCAGAGTGTTATATATGATAAGCAAACTATCAATGAGATATATCCCCTGCCCTGTGTGTGTGTGTATGTGTGTGTGTGTGTGTGTGTGTGTGAATGATACTGAATGTATTCAAATTTCAATTTTTATTTGTGATTTTATTTATTTATTTTTGTCCCTAAGGATTGAACCTAAGGCTTTCGACATGCTAAGCAAGTACTCTACCACTGAACTATACTCCA